ACAGAAGGAGATAGACAGCAGAAAGGAAAATACAGAGGAAAAGGGAAGAATGGGTACAGAGAGAACATTAGATAACAAATTCAACACCTCTTAAACCCTAATGTTTAACTTTATACCTCATAAAAACTGTTCAAGCCTATACTGAAAAATAAAGCACGTTCATGGCATTATCCCCTCCCCTTCAAAATTGACCTTTTCCGCAAGGTCAAAGAACTGTGTTTGCATGTCAACAAGATATTCCCAAGTAGAAGACTTGACAGTCTTGAACCCATATTTCCTTGGCAAGAAGAATGTGTGGAACCCAATATGGAACACATTTATGGTTCTAAGATATTCATCCAGTTTTAAATATAAGACTCATTTTATAATATAAATTACACTGTAAAATAAGTTTTATATTTAGGTATCCAGTATGACCCAAAAAAGGAACAATCATGGATGAGGATTCAAACCGTTCCCCAAAAACAACAAAATTGCACGAGACCCAAGAAACATGGCTGGAAATGCTTGAGTTAACTCCAAAAGTTACAATAGCAACCATAGTCAAAGTTACGTGAATAAGGGTGTGTTTGGATGAAACCAAACCGTGGTTTGAAAAAGTGATTCTGGAGAATAGATTCTGTGAAGAATAGATTCTGGAGTGATTTTGAAAAGTGAGAGTGTTTGGATAGTTGTTATCAGAAGTACTTTTTATATACACAAATTACTAAAAAAAAAGACATAAGTTAATATGATAATTACAGAAAAATAGATTTTATGATATATTTTAATTTGAAGGAATAAAACTATTAATAATATATTTTTTACCAACATAATTAATAATACATAAGATAATATAATTAATAAATAATTAATATGTATATATATTTATAAATATAAGATTAAATATGTTTATAAAAAAATATGTTTATAAAAAAATAACAAGATACATATCCTATAGGCTCTCACACTCTCCCTCTTTTCTCCAAAAGCAAAAAATTTTTGCTTTTTTCAAAACCATAGTTTTGGAATCAAAACCATGGTTTTGACCCAAAACCATGGTTTGGTTTTTGGGATGACTGTTTGGGTAGGTTTTTACCCAAACCATGGTTTGGACCCCCAAACCATGGTTTGGGCAAACATCCAAACGGTGCCTAAGTTAGCTTGAAAAGTCATTTTGAATGTCCCACAAGAAATAAAAAAATCGGGGCACACCATTGAGAGGGGTAGCTTATCATCATAATGACTCCACAACACATAAGCTCATAAATGTTGAATAGCATGGACTGGTACAGAACGAATTATAGCATCCATTGAACTTTTAACAAAAGCTAAGCAGGAAAACTAGCCAGTGAAATAAATGGAGTCATAATAGGGTGTCTAGATTGGCTTTTTGAAAGTTTTCTTACAAGATACCAAATAAATATATAAGATGAGTTTTGTTTCGATGCGCAATCTTGAATCTTAGTCATGTGTGGCCCAGTCCATTTCATATGGGCAACGCAATTTCTAACAACCCAACACATTTAACTTTTTGACACATCAAATGAGTTAAACCATATTCTTCCCTTGACCCATGGTTGAAATATTTACGAAGGTAGATGTCCAGAGATCAACTTTAAACCAAGTTCAAACTTCTGGTGGCCCAAGTTATGAAGCTTCCAGCCCAATGATTTGTTTATATAAGTTTGTCTTTGGTCCCTGGCCCATACTAGAAAATTAAAGCATGTTCATAACATAATCTGATAATCCTTAAATAATACATGATAGTTTACAAAACTTAATAAAATATTGTGACTTATTGTAAAAATGGTCATTGACTTTTTCAATTTCAGTTTATTAGACTTTTGCATCTCCTTTTTCCTTCCTATAAATTATGCTCTTTCGGTCTTCTTTTTTTTCACAAAAAACAATTACTATTTTTACTCCATTTATTAAAAAAAATTGCAAAATGTCTTAAATTTTTTTTCACCAGTTTCTTATTTTACCTCTATTAGTTTAATGTTTGATATATTTACTACCTTATTTTTAGAAGCACTATTTATTCATTTTCTTATTCTCTCTTTTATTTTCCCTTCCATAATTTTATACATTTATTATCTTGAACTAATTTTAACTAATTTTTTAATCATATAATTTGGCCAAATGTTTTTCATGACAAGCGAGGGAGGGAATATCAATGAAAGCAAAAGGATAATTTCTAAAAGTTGTAGAAACTTTAACGGAAAAAATATTGCTACATTAAAGAAAAAAAGTTAAAGTACAATTTTAACAACAAAGTTTATCTTAAAGGGTACTAGGCACCATAATATTTATTTGGGTACAAAAATATACATAAAGTTGTCAAAATGGGGTATTTGACACTAGGCCGTTAATATCCGTTAATTTACTGTCAGAGGGGCTCACAAAGTCAATTTTGAGGTGCATTTTTAGCAACAAAGTTTACATCAAGGGACACAAGGCACCATGAAATTTGCTTGGATGCAAAACTATACATGAACTTTCTAAAAGGGAAAAAATAACAAAATTCTTCAACTTTCATAAACATTAATTAATTTTATTCTTTTGGATCCCACTAAATTCTATATTTTCTTTCCATTAATTTTCACTTCTAAGTCGATCTATCTTTTCTCATTATAGTCAACACGTACATTTTTTTGTCATGTCGTTTTCTTAGCCTCCAAGGCCTTTATATGTATTTATACAAAACAATGCCTTTTTCTTCTAGGATATGAGGTTTATTACTTGCACCTAAGTACTACCTCTAGTCCTTAATATAGGACGTGATATATTAATTTGAGGAGATTAAAAAAAATAAATAAATTAAATTTAAAGTTTTTTATTTATCATTTTTCTTCAAATTAATTTGTTTCGCTTATAAACTAATATATAATTAAACGATTCATATAAATATTTTAGAGAGATCATGTACTATATGCTATATTTAATTAATTATTCTACTTCTTTAATTTTTTTTTCAAATTTGTCCATTATACTAAGGAGGAGAGAAAGTATGAATGAGTAAAGAGAAAAAGTGATATTGAGTAAGACCCAAAAAAAAAAAAAATTAACGGACGTTGGAGAATTTTGTTATCTTTTTTTCTTATGAAAAGATCATGTATATTTTTGCATTTCAGTAAATTTCATGGTGCCTAATGCTCCTTAATGTAAACTTTATTATTAAAAATACATATTAAAACTGACTTCATAGGTTCCTCTAACAGTAAACTAACGAACAGTAACAAGGTAGTGCCAGATGCCTCCTTTTAATAATTTTATGTATATTTTTTACCTAAATAAACTTTATGGTGCATTGGTACCTAATGTTTTAGGATAAATTTTATAGTTAAAATCACACGTTAACCCTTAACAAAATTTATTGAAACCGAAGAGACTCAGAAGTCAGAACCAGAGGAACACACCTCAAACCCAGTACCTAGGGGCAAGATGAAGAGACTCTGATCTTCTCCAGCAAAAGGGAAGGGGAAAGCTTGTCTCTCTAGAAGCACACTCTCTCTCTAGAGGAACTCCTTCAGATCGGTTCCCTTGGAATCGACCCTAAACTTTTTCTTCCATTCAAAGGCGACACGAAACGATGACCTCTCTGCAACAATCTGAACCCATAATAATCTGCCATACAGGATTCACTATTACTCTGGTCAAAAGTTCAGCTCCAAAATACGGGGAAAATAACATCTTGGGAGCTTTCTGGAAAAGCAATAATAATCCTGTAATAATATGAGTTAATTGTACTTACTTGTAATATTTATATGAGTTAATTGCACAGAAGCAGAATTCAAAATCATATGAGTTAATTGTACCTGTAAAATTTATAGCCGCTAAGACGATACAATAATAATAATCCTGTAATAATGTTGAAGGGTGTGAGAGTTGGTAGAATCATAACATTCTAAACCCCCATATTCTGAGAAGGGTAGAGAGAGAGAGAGAGAGAGAGATATTACATTCCACAAAAAAAGAAGTAAGTGTGATCGGTTTGGTAGGCAGCCCCTGTAATACATCATGCGTACCGTCTTGGTTGACCAAGTTTTATTATATTACCACATGTTGAAGAGTTAGATATTACTTCTCGATCTTAATATAAAAGTTAATTAACTAATTTAAGTAAATTAAAAAAATTTGTTAAGTTAGTTATTTGTAATAAAGAACTGTCATCTTTTCTAGAATACCCTTACTAATCATATGTATTAGTTATAACTACCAATTGATAGGATCATTAATATGTACAACTACTACAAGGATTACATTAAAAAAATGAATAAATATGAGAGATGAAGTGGATTGGGATATTGTATTTAGGACCAAATGAAAAGTTAAACTAACTTTTATATTAAGAACCGAATATAGTAATCACTAATTTGAGGATATTAAGCAAATTATTTAAAGTGATTTTTGTAACAAATCTGCATTGACTTTCTTAAACTACCATATTTAATCAAGTGCATTGGAATTACCACTTAAGGGGAACTCCTTACAAATTAATGGAGATATTTTGGAGAAAAATTTAAAAATCTAGGAGACAAAATAAATTGAAATCTTATATTTAGAAACAAATTCTACCCCTATCTGGCTCTTTTAATTTATTGAGGGGGGGTGTTTGGCTATTGCCAAAAGCACTTCCTAAAAGCATTTTTTACAAAACGAGATAAACTCCTTCACATATCTGTTTCGTAAACTGTAAAAATACTTTTGAAACAATTGTTTGGTTTTTATCCAAATACCCCCTAAGTACTAGAGATAGTAGTTACTTAAGCCTATTTTGTATATATCGTTGCAATCATTGGACATATTACAAGGATAAATTGTAGTATATTCTCATTGTTAGTCACTAACAAAACACAAGGGAGGGGACAATGTACTAGCCTTGTTAATTTGATCCCATGATGATTATTAGAAGAGGGACTTACTTTAAGCTAACAGGTTAAATCAAGTTTAATTTTTCTCTCCTAGCTAACAGCTTATAAGTAAGCACAAAAAAGTCAACTTTGGATTAATTTGGGTAGACAAAGAAGCATAAAACAAGAGACAATTAAACTTTAATCCGTAGTTAACTGACATATGCAATGTACTACTGTTGTTGTCTCACACCGCTCTGTAGCCAGCTATAGCAGATCAGATTATGGACAAGCAGAGAGGACAATACGATTTGTAACACGAGAAGATTCATCATCAGTTTTATCCATTTCCATAACTTTTTTATGACTCTCCACAAACTCTCGAATCTGTTTCTGAGAACTTCCACCTTCATCAATGGCTTCTGAAGCTGAAACCTTCCAAGGAATGGCATTTCTCTTCATTTCTTTCCCTATCTCACTTTCCATCACTTCCTTAATACAATTCTTCAATGTCTCACGTTTCACAATCCCATCTTCACCAGCCTCAGCTCTCATTCCCATCTTCCAAACATCCCTAACATTCTTTGCATTTAAGCTTTGATCAGTCCACTGAGGCACAGCCACCATTGGAACTCCCGCACACAAAGCTTCCAACGTAGAGTTCCAACCAGAATGAGTCAGAAAACAGCCTACAGATTCATGGGAAAGCACTTTCAGTTGAGGACACCAGGAAACCACTAGGCCTTTCTCTGATCTCTTCTCAAAGTCTTTTGGGAGTTTGGATTCTTCGTATTCTCTCACAACCCACAGGAAGAAGTAACCACGGTGCTTTAAACCCCAAGCTAGTTCCTGCATTTGATTCTCTTTGATGTTAGACATACTTCCAAACGAGACGTATACCACCGAGCCTTTGGGCTTATCGTCCAGCCATTTCAAGCAGCAATCTTCATTCTTGCAGAGATTGAAACCATAGTCTTCATCTTCCTTCAGCCTTTTGTCTGGCAACATAGATGGCACTGTTGGCCCCACTGCTCTCAACTTCGGCCAAATTGTTTTCAGCCAATCAGCCACCTAAAAGTCACATATTTACACATCTGTCGCAATCAATGGAGATATATATATATATATATATATATAGAGAGAGAGAGAGAGAGAGAGAGAGGCAATGGATTAGTTGGGTTGTTCGTTAATTAATGGGATGACTTATGTTAAGGACAAAGGGTACAAGTACTCTCCATATGAAATATAAATGCAGTATTAATTAAATGATGCATTAATATAGATATACCAAGATGTGCAAACGTAATTTGTCTCTCTGCCATCTAATTATATAATTTACTTCATTATTTTGTGCCAACTATATAATTTACTTCATTATTTAGTGGCGACTTCAATCTGATAATTCGTTACGTAGTGGCAATCTATGGACACATTAAAGGAAAAGATTATAAGCATGTGATGCGCAATTATTGGCTGTGAAGAAGTGGCTCTTTTGTTAAACAGTTATATTGCACGTGCCCCATAATATTTTTCTATGGCCATTATTGGCATTCGAAAACATATTTAACAATATTTCGATTCTAAATTAACTTTTACATTCAGTTGTGATCTCAAAATACTCATTATTTCGGTCCTAAATGTAAAGCTTATTTTATAGTATAAATTACACTATAAAATAGATCTTATATTTAAAATCAGAAGAGCATTTCATACTTTTATCTAAAATATACTTCTTTATTTGACCCCCCAAAAATGTGGAAAACACATACGGCGTAGAATAAAAATGAGGTAAATACTCTTAAATTACTAAATTACAAAATAGGCTAATAAATTATACAAAACCCTCCCTACTTTTATATCATATGTGAATAATCTCTTTACCCTTCGAAACTTTACAATAAACCACACTGAATTTTTACATTTATACACATAATTCTCATAGTATTAGTTTTGTTCATTATTCATTTGTAAATAGTTTAAACTTTATGGAATTTAAATGTAGTTAACCCAAAGCTTGAAAAGTTATATACTACCTCAATCCTTAATATAAGACATCGTTTGACTTTTATTTTGATCCTAATTAAAAAAACCCAATCCATTTTGCCTCTCAATTTATGCATTTTGTCCAAACTAGTCCTTCTAATAATAGTAGTTTTAGCCAACACACTTGATTAGTGAGGATATTTTAGAAAAGATAATACCTATTTATTATAAATAACTAACTTAACTTATTTCCTTAATCTCTTTAAATCAGTCAATTAACTCTTTTATTTAGGACCGGAGGTAATACATATATAAATAGAGGGGTATAAAATTGGTAATTTGAAGTTATCTGTAAAGGTTTATGGGGATGTATTATTAAGTTTTAGATATTATATTAAGAAGGTTACCTGTACATGGTTCTAAATTCATGGAGGCTTAACGTAGTATAATTTAGCCTCCAAAAGATAAATGATAACAATCTCATTTGCAAACAAGCATATATAAATGAGTCAATTTTGCAGGCAAGACAAGGTAAATCAATGCGCGGAATGAGATCAAAGAATGGAGTAGTTCCAAAAGTTACAGGGAAAATCAAAAAAAAGAAAGAAAGAAAGAAAGGAAAAATAAAAATAAAAAACTGAAGTAGCAGAATGCTGACCTCTTTTTCCAGCTCATAAAATGTGTTGCAAAGGATCCAATCAACCTCGTCAATGTTAGAAAACTGGGCCAAAAGAACATCAAACAAGTCTGGATGAGTTTGGTGAGCAAACACAAGAGAAGACAAATCCTTAGGCTCCAACAATGGCATCCCAGGAAGCTGAATCTCCATCTCCATCTTCATAATATCCAGTTTCTTCCTCTGCAAATGATAATACACACTGCTGATAGAAAGAGACTGAGTCAGAAACGAAGCACTGCTCAACCCAAACTTCTTAGCCACCCCATGAACCCAAGGCATGAACGAGTCATAAACAATACAATCTGCATTATTTCCAGAACTAGCAAGCTTCTCAATGAGCTCACCAAGAGTCTCTGAGCCAACCTTCTCAAACATATCAAAGTATCCCTTGAAGCTATCTGCTTCAGCAACTCCACCTTTGTCGAATCCGTCAGAAACAGTATCAATGGCTATGGAAGAAGGAAGTTTCTGTAATGTGTTGTTGAAGCAGAAACGAGTGGCCACTAGCGTCACTTTGGCTCCTTCTTGCTTCAAACGCTTGCAAAACTGAAGCATAGGGTTTATGTGACCTTGAACTGGACATGGCAGCACCAGAAAATGAGGTTGCTCCGTATTGGCGGTGGTGCCGTCACTCCACATTCTTTTTCTTTATTCTCTTCTTCTGATATATTAATTGTTTCTTGTGAGTGTCCCTTGGAGCATCCCACCACAAGATTTTATAGAAGAGAAAATGGCAGGAAGCGATCTCTCTGTTGTAGATAACGACAGTAGCAAGTTAATTGAACAGTGATCATGTGACGTGGAATCATATAATTAAACCTAACCTAATTATATACTATCAAATCTTTAATATAAGACTCGGTTGACAAATTTGAAGAGATTAAGAAAATTATTAAATTTATGTGAATCATTATATTATATATCAATTTATAAGTAACACAAATTAACTTAAAAGATTATGAATATAAAAAGTTTAAAGTAATTTGGTAACTTTTTCAGTTTTTCCAAATTAATTAATTGAGTCTTATATTAAAAATTAGAAATAGTATTTATCAAATTGCACCCTGAAGGGAGTACTGCGAGGTCCACGATGAACTGAAAATAAACACATAAAAGTAAAGGAAGCGAGGAACCTCAGAACAATCACGAGGCAATAACGCATGTTATTTTCATGGATGTCATTTTCATGAAAAATTTTTTACGTGTTTGAGATGATTAATTAAATACTGAAGGGAGTAGCAGAATTTGAGGATGAGACCAAGTGAAATAAGAAATTAAGAAGGAAGTTTCATATACATAGAAGTATGAAAATATTTTAATACAATGAAACTTTAACGAGGTCTTTAATTGTTGCCTCCGTGGGATGCGAGGGTATATAGTTTAACCATAGAACATGAATCACGATGAGCAAGGAGGACAAAGGAGAGACTGAGAGAGAAATGATCAAAAGCAGCACTTTAGCCATTGAGAAATCAGAGGGGAAGGTCGAAAGAGGAAAGAAAGGGTGGGACCTATGTGGGGCCCACAAATCTCTGTGTCTTCAATTCTCTCTCCACGTGGACTATATGAGTCTTCTGGGAAGAATCTAGATCCGTAACTTTTGCATCTATTCAAGGTTTGTTTGGATTGATTGAGTTATAAGTAACTTTTCGAACATGATTTACGGAATACTACCTCCGATCCTAATTATAAGATCCAGTTGATTAATTTGAGGAGATTAAAGAAATAAGTTAAGTTAGTTATTTGTAACAAACAATTGTTGTCATTCCTAAAATATCCTTGCTAATTAAGTGTGTTGGTTAGAACTATTATTATTAGAAGGACTATCTTGGAAAAAAATGCATAAATATGAGAGACAAAATGGATTGGGGTCTTATAATTAGGATCAAACTAAAAGTCAAACGGGATCTTATATTAAGGACCGGAGGTAGTATGAGATAAGAATGTAAGGAGAGTTATCTTAACTCATATGAACTTGTTTAAAAGTTTGTTTTGATCGGAACTTTTTATTACCGTCTCCTTATAAACTTTTGTCACCTGATTAATTATATGGCAACTAACTCTTGTTATTGACAATTTTAACTTATTTTTAAGTTTTAATTCTACTTACTGTTGTTTGTTCTGATTTACTTAAAACATTTTTTTACTTTATTTTTTTTTAATTAGAGAAACTTTGTACGCTGGCCTGCATTTGATATTAATTACTTATTGGAATTCAAATAATGATAGGAGTATTTTTAATCATGGGCATTAGCAATACGTCATTTAATTTTTTTTATATTTTTCCAGATGTTATAAGATCATGGGGTATTAAGATAATGAGTGGTTACATTATAATTAATTAATTAAGAGATATGGGAATTAACAAGTAAATATCATAAGGTCATATTTTTTATCTTCGATGAAATATTTTGCTGAAGTGAACTTAACATTGTTAAACTTGCTACTACCACTAGTGGCAAATATAAGAATCAGTTGGGAATTCAATTTGATTATAGATATAAAACCTTAATTCACTTTATCTTTCATATTTATTTATTTTTAAGTAATTCCTAACTATTACTAGGAAAGACAATATCTATTTATTATAAATAATTAACTTAATTAATTTTATTAATATTTGGAGGTGATTAACAAAAATGTTAACTTGAAACTATTTCTGTTAGGAAGAATTAGAACCAAGAACCTGTAGAGAAAAATATTTAGTTAAAAATATCCTAAAAATTAGAAATATTTTAAAGGACCATATAGTAAAATATACTTTTAGAAAGGCTAAATCATCCATAATTAATCTGCCTATATTCTCTCGTTTCCATTCAACAATGCCTCCTTAAAGGTATGATATTGATGATGGCAAAGGTTAAAAATCTCTTCCTTTCAACTGTTCAAATACAAATTGAGGATCTCTTTCAAAAGACAAAAATATATCTCCAACATCTGACTTATAAAATACTTGATATCCAAATAAATAATAATCCACAAAACCTCTTTCTAGCTGATACACTGTTCAGAGGGAAATGAGAAGTATAATTCAATTCCAGTATTATTCTATTAGAGTTTTCACTTGAGTTGAGGGATCCAAATTAAATTATCAAATGCACAAATGCTATCTGATGATCAAAAAGCCCTACCTATTCCAACATTAGAAGGTGAAGAATCATCTCGAGATTTGGCAAGGAAGCGAATTTGGCATTGATGCTGAGCTTGAATAGCTTGTCAGTGGTGGAATCGAGTGTAGAAGCCATTGAATGAGCACACGAGCGGAAGAATCACAGAGGGAACGAAGGAAGTGGACAAGGGTAACGTGCTATTTAAAAATCTATATTTTAACATTTAGTCCTTTTAAATAATTCTAATTTTTATGATCCTTTTGACTAAATATTTTTCTCTACAAGTCTTCTGTTCTAATTTTCCCTTTCTCTTGTGTTGTTTGGGAGCTTGTCTTGTTCAGATTCTCTAACAGCCCACAGGAACCCACGAAAGAAGAGATAATGAAAGTATGGGGGCCTGGATTGATATTGTCCCCATATTATTTATCACTTGAGAATAGTGAGATTTAATTTGAATTTCATCATTTATATAATATTAATTAAATATCATTTTTCTTATGTGATTGAAGTTCATCAATATCTAGCTAGGCTTCAAGAACAGATGATGTTGCTAGAGAGGCTCATTGGAAATCCACTTGCTGAACATGGCAAGGTACTCCTCAGGTTTGAATTCCGGGGCTGTATGTCCTGCGCCCTGGACGTAAATTCATCAAAAACATAATAATTAAATAGAATAGTTCCATTATAAAAGAGGAAAATTAAACAGAATAATTCCCAACCCATAGCATAGACACATCTTTTACTTTTTTCTTTTGCCCTTATCACATTAAGCTAGTTTCAATCAGCCATCTTTTAGTCCCTCTCTCTCTAGTTTCAAACAGAATAATTCCCACCCCATTTTTTGAATCTCGATAACAACTGAGTATTTTGATGAAATAATTACATTTTACCTTGACAGCTGCAAATGTCATTTGATTTGAACAAGTCCTTGTATACCTATTAATCCAAAGGAACATTTCCAGTAAGTATAATTGGAATAATAGATCATTCATAAAATAAATTAAGCATTAATTAATTAATTATACAATATATAACACAAGGCCTACCCAGCAACTTGGCCACTGACATACCAAGGCCTCCAGTCATCAACAATGGAGTAGTTCAGAGATCTGATCCATGCTTGTGTTGATAGGAAAGGACATACCATGTCATGATCACCACTGCAAAGAGCAAACTTTTATTAAGTTGCCAGAGCAACATTATCAACAAAATTCAGAACTACTTTGCCGGGAAATTTGGGGGAAAATCCCAAATTGAAAATTTTATTGGTGAGGAGAATTTGAAGTTCTATACATAGAAAATACAGTACTTTGCAATTTTTGTATACATACAGTGCCAATACAGATTTAGCAAGGTCCTCCTCATCAATAAAATTTTTAATGGGAGACTTTTTCCCCATTTTCCCCCACTTTATTTGACTTTTATTCATTTGATATTCTTATTCCTTCAAAAGGCAAAAGGGTTTGAGGTTTTAGAAGAGAACAGGTTAGGCAGGAATCTAACTGAATACCTAGGATTGCCCAACAGTTGAGCCGAGGTAAGTGTCGCTAATTTATTTATTTAGAACAATAATAGCAACCAATGGATGATAAAATATTAACCTGTAAATCAATGAGCGGTAGCCTTTTGTACTGAGATTTACATGATAATAAAAACTGCTATCAATCTCATGCTTAAAAGGTATGTCCCCATTGCAAAGCGTCCAATTTCTTGCAGTTCCCTGCTTCACATGTAATAAGTCAAATGAAGACAAAACAAGAGACTAATGCACCATAAAACACCTAAATCATCTGTAAATTAAATGGGATGGACAAAATAAAAAGAAGCATCTCCATAAACCAACTTATTCAGGATAATTAATTAATCAGCATTCACAGCCAAGACTTGGGCCACTGAAGTTGGAGGTGAAGCCATTTATTTATTTTTTTTTTTGGGAGATTTAGTCTTTAATTACAGCAATTTTACTTAACAAGCTAATTGGTTGCTTAATTGAATTGATGATGTTGTAGAATAACTATGGTTGCATCTATGTGTCATCTAGACTAGGAATTTATATAGTAATTCATTCGAATAATTA